CTTTTTAAAGAATATTTTTTTATTGATTTCAGAGAGGCAGGGAGAGGGGGAGAGAGATAGAAGCATCAATGTTGAGAAAGAATCATTGATTGGCTGTCTCCTGCACGGCCCCTACTGGGGATGAAGCTCACAACCTGGACATGGGCCCTGACCTGGAATCGAACTGTGACCTCCTGGTTCATAGTTCCACATTCAACCACTGAGCCACGCCGGCTGGGCCACAAATGCTTCTTCACTCTGCTTCTAGATACTGCCCCATGTCTCTCATTCCCTTTATAGCCATTTCTCCAAAGAGTTGTGATGTTCTCTGTTTCCATATTCTTACTTCCCAGTTATTTCTCAGTCACAAGGAGTCTGACTTCTGCCCTTACCTGTCCATCAAATCTGCTCTCCTCTGGGTCCCTAGTGATTCTGTTGTTTCAAACACATGGATATTTGTCTGTACTCACATTTCTTATGCTGGTGGCTGCATTTGACATTGTTGACTATTCCTTTGTGAAAAAATGTCCTTTCCTTGCCATCATGAGGCTTCTCCCTCCTGGGGACCTTCTGCCCTCTCCTCTGCATCACCTCTGTGGCTGCTGTTTCTTTGTCCATCCTCATATGTTAGAGTCCCTGAGGCATCTGACCCAGGTCCTCTTTGTTCCTGATTCACCTCAGTCTCTCTGGGCTTCCGTGAGTGTCTCTCTATGCTGCAGGCTCTCTAATGAATATCTAACTTAGAAGCCAATGGTGGCAATTCTGCCTCTCAGATGGCGTATTGATTGGCCAACCCATTGTTTCAACCTTGAATCAAATCTCACTGTTGCTCATCTGAGGAGGCCTTCCCACTAGTCTGGCCACCTTCAACCTGTTTTCATAACAGTAACTTGAGTGACCTTCTGAAATAAAGCCAATCACACCACTTCTTAAAACCTCAGCTGTCTCTGGGATAAAGTCCATCGCTGGGTCAAGGCTCTTGATGACCTGGCCCCCTTTCCCACTCCAGCCTCCTGTCTTGCCATTCTCTCCTCTCTCATCTTGGACCTGGCCCTCTCTCGGCCATTAGAAACTGCTCTCAAAATCCCAACTATTTACTATTCTACATTCTCTCTGGCTCCTGGTCCTCCCTGGAAATTCCTCCTTTGCTTCTTTCCTGCCTCACTTCCTTCCTCAGCTGGTAAACTCACTGACAGGCCCCATTTTGATGCCTCTTCCTGGAGGAAGCCATGAGGCGCCCCTGTGTGTGCCCACCATGCACGTACCTGCCCTCTCCCAGCACGTCTCACCCTGACGTGGACCCCCTTCCCGGTGTCCCTCTCCTGGATACAAGCTCCCAGGGAGGGGAACCACGTTTGTCTTGTTTCCGCTGTGTGTTCCGGCCTTGGCTGGATGCCACAGGATCAGCTAAAAACTGGAATCTGCTTGGGAAGCTTCTGTGCCAGGAACTTTGTGTGCTAACATATTGTAGTTACTTACAAAATATGTTTATTAAATAATTGTTTCTTTTCCTGTTTCAATTAAGCAAATCATAGAATGGCTAATATAAATTAACTTAATTTGGGCCAAAGAAAGAAAATTGGCAGTTTGGGTTAGTCTTGTAGCCTTCTCTTGGGAAAATGGATGCTCTTCCTTAGGTTTCTTGAAATATAAAGAATAGCTTAAAGGTCTCTTTTACCACCTTTGAGAACTCCTAGGGGCTCTTGACTAGAAACCATCTGGCTCAATATCCTCAATGTAGAATAATTATAATGGAAGGAGCTAGATTTGTAGTCACATACACATTTTTCAAGTACTTATTCTTTTAGCCACCTTGATGTCAATCTTATTTAGCTGAAAAATAGGGCTAATATCTTCTTGGCAAAATTATGCTATAGACTAAATTTAAAAGCTAATCTATAAATGATGTGCATAGGATAGTGCCTTGCATATAGTCAACTCAATAAAGTATAGGCACTATTATTCTATTTTTTAAATAAAAGATAGAGCAACATAGAGAAGCTTAGGTGAGTTGTCTAAGAAGCACAGCTTGCTAGTTAGAGAACTTACAAAATAGCATATAGTTTACTAGAGGCCTGGTGCATGAAATTCATGCATGGGGGAGGGAGGTCCCCTCAGCCCAGCCTTCACCCTCTCCAATCCAGGACCCCTCAGGGGATGTCTGACTGTCCCTGGGATCGGGCCTAAACCGGCAGTCAGACATCCCTGTCACAATCTAGGACCTCTGGCTCCTAACTGCTTACTTGCCTGCTGGCCTGGTCACCCCAAACTGCCACCCTGCTGGCCTGGTCGCCCCACACAGCCTGCTGTTTGGTCGTTACTGTTACTGTGACAGCGTCCCGGACAATTTGCATATTCCGCTATTATTAGTTTAGATTATTCTGAGCCAGGATTTTCCTTGCTTAATCCTACTGCCATTCAGAAAAAGGAGTGCTGACGAAAATAGTGAAGTATATTGATGGTGGAAGTTTTGCTTATTTCTTTTTTCTTGGTAGGAATTCTAGTGAGCAGGTAAGGGACTATCAGATAGCACCAAAAGAAGAGAAACCACAGGGGTAAATTTTCAGAGGCAGTGTGGCACCAGGGCTTGAGATGCATGAGGGCGATGAACCCTGGGCCTGAGGCAAAGGCACAGAACATGCCACTGTCTCTCGGAAGATGTCCCATTCTCACGAGAGCAGTGTAGGCCTAAAGCACCATATAAATGTGCATATATTCTTAGTAATTTCAGTTATTTTTAGGGAGAGAATATTGTACCTGCTGAGTTCATTACTTAGACAAACAAAATGGATGTCCCTAAACAGTTGAGCCACCAACCCTTTCTCTACACCTATTTAAAAGGGTTCATTTGAAAGAGAAAAGAAACAAAAATAAAGGGGTTCATTTGCATTGGGGCTTGGATTTTAGTTGTGGTTATTTTGTTCTGAATTTCCTTTTCTACCTGAAGAAGGCAGGTGGAGGGAGGTTGCTAAGCAGACACCTAAGGCAGAGGTGAGGAAGCAGAGGGTGGGGGACAGAGGGTGTAACCC